TCATGTAATAGCACTGGAATTGAGCCTTCAACACGGACTAAACCTACAAGGGTAACTGAAGTCCTTGGTAAACATGTGGAACAGTAGATGCTAGCTGAGGAGGCAGATGTTTTGCCTACACAAACACAAAAGGAAGCTTTCTGACCCGATTCAGAGTCGCTGCTGTCTGAGGAGCTAGAACCACTGCTAGTACTGCTGCCAGAGTCCAAGGAGCTGCTGCTATCGCTGCTGTCACTCAGTCTGCTTGGTCCAATACTGGACTCGGCATTGTTTTCAACTGCAGGAGAAAAAGAAAGACTTTAGAACAACCTGCAGTGGAGCAGTCTTCATATACAAGACTAGAATCAACCTTATTAGTCTATTCTCCCATATAATAGTTCATCTTCTGCCATTTCCTTGTCCACTGTCCATTTAGCAGTGGATTTGAGACCTTCATAGAAGAGGGAGATTTACCAGCAGCAAGCTAGCTGAATGAATGAAATAGCCAAGGAGAAGCTGTAATCACACAATTTACAATCCTAAACTAGGTTAAAATTGTGCTGTCTTAAGACACAATTCAAGCAATTTTCCCCCATAAGTTTTCCTGCTGTTAAGAGCCTGTTTCTGTGCTTATTGCTGCTGCCAGACTTGCATGCTGCGATCTTTATAGCTAACTCTCCTCTTTCCCAAGCCATATGTGCTCCAGTATTGTCATCTTTTGCCACCTCCCCACCATCTGACTATTTTGCATCTGCAGAATTGATTTAACTCAGTTTATAGTGATTTTGCAGTCAAAAAGCTTTTTTGAAGTGTGTTGCTCTGATAGAAGCTTTGAAAATGAGAAGCTACATGGATACCTGTTTCCCTGGACACAATTCTTTGCTAAGTGCCAGCTTAAGCTCTTTTTTGTGATAAACAAGCCAGATGCCAGTTGTAAAGATTCCCTGGCCTGCTTCCTCACTCCCCACACAACATATACTTCACAACTGTTCTCAGCTGCTTCTTTAAGCTTTCTTTCTATGATGTTTTCAAGCCATCGTGTATACCAGACAGGAAGACTGTTGCCTGAGCTAATGCTGGATGCAAGCCTGTGTCTTGCAGGACTGCTTCTATAACTTCAGCTAACTGGTTTCACATAGGAGCTTAATAGATATCCAATAGAGGGCAACAGCAGCACTCACTAGTTTAATGAGGAACAACTTGACCTATAATAGTAGCATCAGCTGCATTGATTTGTTCTCAGTCCCTGACTAAACCCACCAGTAAGTGTAGATATGCTCAAGTATGTACTGAATTTCTGGTTTTGATATTGAAACACATTATCGCCTGAAAAACGGAATTGATTCTCCTAGGCTACTTCCTTAAGACTAAGGCAACACAGCATACCTCTCACTGATGCAGAGGTTGCTAGCATGACAGCATTAGTGAGGCTGCAATCTAACAAGTATGACTAGAATTTGTTATTCTTGAATCTCTAAGCCACAGAAAGTGAATTGCAAACAAATACATAGAGGGACACTCCTCCTCCTCCCATGTTTTCATATGTCAGCATAAGGAAGGTGTTCAGTGTCCCTTAAGCTCTGAAGCTGTTATTGTCTTTACCTGTAATAAAGGATTAGATGGAAGAATAAGGAAGATGTTTTAGACAGGACAAGTAACTGACCAAGTTTGCTGCTGCGAGTTCAGCTCATTCAACATAGGAAGAATCTTAAGACTAGCAACGGGAAGCTTAAGACCTCAACTGTTCTGAGGAGAAAGTCCCCAGCTGCATAACAGTACATAAGCGCAAGGGGAGAATCCCACTTTAAGCTATTTCTATTGCAAATGAATAAAAGTAAGAGTCACATTACACTTGAGGTTCTCCTTCTTTGGGTTTAGTTGACCATTGACATCCAGTAGTCTCTTCTCTAGCTCTTGTTTCCTTTCAGAATTAAGCTGTTCTTTTGACTTTGTTGTTTTTTTAGCTGCATGTGAAACAGAAGTTAACATTGCAGCAAGACAGAAAACAAATCTAGTTGTGTGTGGGTTTTTTTTTTTTTTTTTTAAAGCATCATTTATGCTACATACCCCGCTGCTTTCTTGGTCTCTTTCTCAAACAGGTTGCCACATATTTCTCTAGTTCTCTGAGTGTTGAAGCCTTTAAAGTTTCAAAGTCTATTTCTATCTCATCAGGGTTAGAGTTCCTCAGTGAAGGTTCTCTTGACTGTATTATATGGACTACTTTCCCAAGCTTATCTCCAGGAAGTTTATTTATGTCCAAACTCAACTGTCTTTTTTCATCGTAATTCATAGGCTTGGCACCATCTTCATCTTCTGACTTATGCGCCAACAAGACCTGCTGCATGGTTTTCTTTGATTGACTGCAAGAAAAAAGTGTACTGCAGTAACAGCAGTTTAAAAATAATTTGACACCCACATGAGTCCCCCACACTTACATGTTTAAAGACAGCTTTTTCTTAGATTTCTTGTGTTTCAGATTTTTCTTCTTTTGAATCAGGCTTTTTATTTTGGCTTTTTCCTTGTTCTTACTTTTCTCTCTTTTAGCCTTCCCTTTTTTCTTTTTCAGTCTAGGTAAGTATGCTCTAGTCAAAGCCCGCAACTGCTGGTGAACAGCTTTAAGCTATCAAAAGCAAAAAAAAAAGCTGATATCTTAGGCAGTGTAGGATGAACAATAAACTGGCCCTAAATATCACAGGAGACTTGTGGCAGCTGAGCTGATATTAATAGGATGTTTGCTTGCCAAATAAGGTTTATTTTCCAAGCATCTTACTATATTATAGATTAGTCACAGACTATGTATATAGAAGATGTAAGATTACTTATTTTATGCAGATATTTCTAACAGCATATGTCTTCTAGCATCCTGTGAAGAATAAAAAAGCAAAAATCACTGTGGGAGTATCCAGCAGCTTCCCTTTAATTTCAAGCATTTGGAAAGCATGTAAGCGCCTTATTAGGTTAGACCTCTAACAACATTACTGAATTAGGCTATTGGGACTGGGCTTGTGCATCTTCAACCCATAAACCCTAGATATTTTGCGATATAAAATGGCTAGTTGGGACATACTAACATCTTCAGAGAAAGACCTAACACAAGTTTGTTTAAACCTCATAGGAATTAGAAGGAAGATAGACAGATGATGAGAATTAGAATTCAGATGCACTGAAATACTTCACTATTGCAAAGACTGTCTTGTAGACTTTTGGTTGTCCTCATACCTTTATTCATAAATTGATGATGTATATGCTACTCTGACGAATACTGAAAACTAAACTGTCCCTCATTTGACTAGCAGAACAGATGCTAGTTTTCCCCATAGTTTATAGATACAGCAGCAGCAGGTTAAAGCATTATGTTCAAGCAAAAGCAAGACCCATTCCACTCTTAACCAATGAAGCAAGCCATGCTTCACATTAGCATGACCATGAGATTCCTTCTGTTTTACTTCATACTGACCTTTCTGAAGTAGAATTTAATGACTTGCTTTTGTGTGGCTCAAGAGAGACTGAGTGAACAAACAGAGCTCTTCAACTATATGAAGGAAATGCCACTGTTAGAAGAATATGCCAGTAAGCTACGTGTGGAGTATCTGGATGCTCTCATCATACCACAGCAACATAGTTTTATTTTTTAGAAGTTTGAGAGTCATCTGAAGAAATGGTAGGCAAAAGTACTAGAGCAATGATTCACTAAAAACAGTTTGTATTTGCTGAGGCACTATTCACTTAACATTTGGAGGTGCTTCCAAACAGGAATAAAGTTCTGTATTAAGAAAAACAAATGACTATAGAATTTTTTAAATACTGATTCTTGGTGCTAAAAGCCTTAGAACGGACAATTGCAAGTGGTACGATCACAGAGGTTATAACAGTCACGCACATTGAGTACTAATGCTTACTTGCTCCTGAAGCTTTGCAAGGTGCACTGTTCTCTCCTCTTCAGAGTCTTCAGATGATTTTTCTTCTGAAGAGTCATCATTACTGCTTTCACTGGAATAAGCTTCTGTCATTTCTCTTGTAGGCTGTGGCAGAGGAACACTTGCAACAGGTTCATCAGGAATTTTGGCAAAGTGCATCTCAAAAACATCCTGAAGAGTTAGGTTTGGGAACAGCAGAGAAGTCAGCGCATCTTTCAAATTTCTAAAGCACTACAAAGTTGCTGCTTGTTTTCTAGAACTACACAGCAACGTAGTAGTTGGTAATATTAGCAGATGCTACATCAGGGCATGAGATCACCACGAAGGAATCTTACAGTCTTACTCTTTTTCAAGTCTGACTTAAGTCATAACTCACCTGAAGTTTTCTTGCCATAGCAACTATTTTATGGTCTGGAGAATTATGTTTGTAGCAGCTCATGAACATTAATCTAACATCCGTAGCAAATTCTTGTATATCTCTATATTCAAAATTATCCATTTTCTTCTAGAGGAAAAGAAAATCAATACACATTTAGGGCTTAAAATTAGAAAACATCACCATGAACTAGCAGAAAAAGAGGAGGAACAAGAATTTTGACATCCAGTATCAGGTTCAGCTTGTATCAAGACAGTAAATATTGTGAGAACCATTATGGAAATACCTGCTTCTCATTCAACATTGTCCCTTTAACAAAGTAAGAGAATTTCCTCTTTTAAACAGATTTGCTAACTCTAATTGCTGTAAGGACTTTGTAGTACTAGTTTCAGCACTAGGTCAAGACAACAATGTTCGGGTGATTTTATTTGGTCACGTACTCAGCACTTGTTTTTGATTCTAGGCATGGTATTTATACAAAGCCTATTCCATAACTGTTTGAGTCAAAATAACGGGCTAGAAATTAGGAAATAACCTTTACATCGTGCAAGCCAGTTTTCAAGATAATTCAATAGACTACTGAAATTCAACCCTCCCCACAAAGGTTGATCTTAACTTGGCTAAATACTTCAACCCCGGACAGATGTGCCCGGTGTTCACAAAGCACTGGCCACATACCACCACCTAGAAGGGTTCCTTTTCACAGAAGATGTGAAAGGTGTCATGTAAATATCTAGGTGTTGAGGTTCCAGGGCACTTCACCAAGGATAATGAGATTCAGAGAGAAGCAGAAGTTGACATTACAGAATTGCATTTTGTTTTATTAGTAACAGCGTATTTAACATGCAGCCTGCTTGGAAGTCCTTTATGGAAATGATAATTCCCTCACTACGTATATTAGCTTGTTCAACAGATAAGTAGATTAGCTACTGTGCACATAGTCACAATGAGACTTCGAAGACTCTTCAGTGAGCTGTGGCCTAGTTTGTTGAGAGAGATAAGCGTATATGGTTTTTATGCCCATTATTTCTTTCCAAGGAGAAGCAGCTTTCATGACACCTTTTCAGCTAACACTATTAAAATCCAGTCATTATACAAGTTATTCAAGCAAGCACACAAATAGTCCAGTTCTCTCTGAAACATACTTACTTTAATCGTTCCCAGGTCTGTAGGACATTTGGTGATCCCTTGGTTCTCACTAAGCGAGAAAGATGCAACATCTACAGGTTTTAAGAAAGGCCACGCATATGCTGCATGTTTCTTTGAAAACATTTCTTTAAGTATTTCATTACAATGGTTTAGTTGTTCTGACAACTGAATCTTTTTAAGAATTTCAGGTGACTGTAGAGAATCTGGCAAGTTTCTCTTCAGAAGCTTATTTGATATCATACATTCATTTTCACCTCTGCATGCTTTAACATCTTTTCTTTCATTAAATGTTGCAGAAGATTCACCACTTGCTGTGAATATTGAAGTAGTAGGAGTTGTAGTGTCAGCCTTCCTTTTCACACCTTTTTTTGCCTAGGAAAAGAAAATTTTACAGTCTAAAATACAGGTGTCCAGAACAGTGAGAGAATGGTCAGCTTTCAGACTACACAAAAAAAATTCTAAAAAGTGTCAGAACTGTTGAAGTCAGAGCAGAATGTGGCACTTCCACACGTTTAGACTGAAAACCTACAGGACACTACAAGATCAGCGTGCCAAGCTCAAATCTTAGATGTAAAGGAAAGAACAGAGTGTACTGCAGGTCAGGTTGTAGTCAGTTTTTAGCCATTTGAGAAGACTCCAAGAAGCTGGTAGATTATGAAGTTACCACAAGATGACTGCTATGGGAAGGGGAAGAATTACTGCAATACCTTTTAAGCCTGGTTGAGGGCTTTATGTACAAGGTTTATCTCTATTTTTCTTTAGCCTGGGTGGTATTTGGTTTGGAAGCGACACAATGTGTGCTTTGTCATCAGTGTTCAGACTCTTCAGTAAAGTGTAAATAAATGCTGCGGGAGAGCCTGGCACATATGCCTGTTTCTCATTGGAAGAGCAAACCCAAAACTAAGTCAATACAAGAGCGTTTATCTGATGAAAATGTCAGATGTTCACATACAATTCAGATTGCATTTAACAAGAATTTGCTTTTGTGAGCTACAAACACCTTCCAGGCTAGTTACACAGTGTTTAAGCAAACATGCTATTTTTGGAGAATCACGCATTTGATTTACATTGAAGCCATGAGAAGTTATTAAATAGAACTTAGAGCTTTATTTTAATACTAAAACCAGTATCTACACCTCAATGAAGGAACAGTTTCTACATCAAAGCCTGCAGAAGTATAGTAGTAGACTTCAAGAGTGACCATCTTAAAGTTCACTTTATTTCTTTGAGAACAACATTTTAAAACCACATTTATAAGAAAAGATGTACCAAACAGTCATCCCAATTTCTGCTTAGTTTCTAGAATTAGTACTGGCCCAGTTATTTAGCAGAGACCTAGAAGATTTAATAGACATCTCTTACTATCTTTTATCACAATGGAAGTTTTGAAAAGATATTGCAGTAAGCATGGCTCCTATGGTTTTGCTATTAGTGCCTGAAGCAGCAATTTCAATACCTTTCGTTCTGAAAGTTATTTGAGGGAACTTACTTTTGTTATAGGGACTGCAGTTGGCATTAAAGCAGTCAGCTGAGCTGCAGACAAAGGAGCTAGTGTAACCTGATGTAGCTCTTGAGTCACCAGTGGAGGCTGCTCACTGCTTTCAGCTTGTTTCTGCATTGTGCTTTGTTCATGTGAAGTCCCAGGGTTGGGCTGCTGTGTTTCTGGTTATTTTAAAATAGAAAGTTTTAAAGTTAGGTCTTAAACCTTGCAGTTAATTTCTTTCATGATCAAATTGAACAGTTGTCAACAGAACCACTCTTTCACACGCAAGCTATACAAATAAATACAAACAAGAGCATTGTTAAACATGGCGACATTGGTATCCTTATCTACTCAGCACCATTAGTACCTCAGCTAGAATATTGGACCAAGTTATGCATATTTGGCTTCAAGAAAGCTGTGGATTAACCTCAGAGGGAAGATTAAAGAGACATCACACTAAAACCTGTACATTGTAAAAACGTTCCTGCCAAGAAGAGAATCAAGTTGCTTTCTACATACACATAAAGACCAAGCAGCAAAGGGTGCATTAAACTGCATCATGAAGGTTCAAGTTTGCTAAGAATAGTTAAGATCTGCGTATATTGCTTAGCAATATTACAGATATCCATCACTGATTTGATGACAGTTAGACCAATATTTTTCTGTATTTGATTTGGCTGGTTAGATTACTAGTGTCTTTTTCAGCTCTGTGACTCTGTTTAGTTCCCACAGACGTTCACACTTATTAGTTCACGTAACACAACACTGAGTAACACCATAACATTCTCTGAAATGGAAGTCAGTTGCTTTTTTTTTTTTTATAAAGGGAAATAAGCTGTGTGTATAGATCTGTTTCCAAAACCAATGTCTGCAAAAGACAGGACAGAAATATTTCCTTGATCATAGCAAGTGTGCTCTACTCTCCAATTCAAAAAGAAGTGCTTAGAACATTTCAAAACTTGTACAAGCTGCATGTTTGTGTGTGCAAGAGGCATGAGGGGACTTAAACAGCATTAATACCAGCAAGATGGTGTTATGAAAGCATCTCAACAAATTGTTGCAATCATTTGAGAACCAAAAAGCTAACCCAGCTTCCAACACATTTCTCAACAGAAGTCTTTTCTGGGAGTCACTTCTACCTGTTCAACCAATATATTCCGCCAAGGCAATGAATTGCTTGAGATTTTACTCAAATAAGCTAGTAGGAGCGGGAAGCCAGATGAGTATCCTCCTCTTCCTCCTAACCCCCTAAAAATTCTTGTGAAAAGACCAAGTCGTCCACTACTTTTCCATATCCATCTACCAGATCACTGAAAGGTAGTGTTGCTTGTCAAATATACCTTGAGGAGAAAGCTACAGAGATTTATCAAACTGTAATACTATTTTGAAGAAACATTTGTTTCAGATACTACCAGCAACAAGGACCACTACACCACAAACAGCAGTAAGAGGAAGCAAACAAAGTCATCAGGAGACCTTGAAGAGCTGTATAATTGCATAGCTAAATAATAAGAGCATCTGTTAAGTGACCCAGTAAGAACTGAGATAGCCAAGATCACTGCTCCCTGGCTGTCAGAAGGCAAATAATTAAGAGGTATCAGGGTGAAGTGTGCAGCTCTTTCAAGACATAGGTAAGATTTCCCCAACAACTGATAGCAATACCTTCAGGCCAATTTGGAAGACTACCTACACATTGAGATGCACATGTGATTCTAGGCACTGCATAGTCTTTATCAATATAATTATTTATTCTTTGGCAATGTTGAGAGCTTAGATGTAGAAATGAGCACTTTATACAAGTGAACAGGTTATAAGAGCAATTAAAAAGACATAGGAAGTTAGTGATGAGTAATAAGTTGCAGCTGATCACATGGCCCCTTGCAATTAGGTTTCCCAATGTCACTTCAAGAACTTACTGTGTAATTTCCTCATAAGTTTGAGATGTCTTGACTAAATTGTCCTTTTTGTGGGCAAGAGCACTGCATTTCACCAGAAGTTTGCCTGTGAAGCTACGCCATTATACTACTGATGAAGTTATTAATTCTGATTTTTACACACTCTTAAACACACTTCATTAGTAGAAAAAAGGAAGTTTAGCTAGTACCTATAAAAAAATAGTATGGCTGCACTGAATCTGCTAAAGCCTTATAGCAATGTTGTTACTTGTCTGAAATGTTCTGGGAAGAGTGGAGAACACCCCAACTGCTCCAGGGTTGAGTTGTGACAAGCTATGGAGGATTGAGAAAAAGCTGTTTCCAGCTTTTCCTTGTTTAATATGTTAACAATTCAACATATAATACAGGCCTTACCTTCTGGCTTCTTTCCTTTTCTCTTTCCTTTGTTGAGAACAACTAGTCTTTCTTCTGGTGGCATTTGGGCTATTTTCTGCATAAACACTTTTTCTAGGTCTTGGGCCATAAACACAATGTCATCACCTGGCTGCAGAATATAGTCAGTAACATTCAGAGTAAAGGAGAGGCTGCAGTAATGGAGGGCTACCTTGTAAAATAAACAGTCTGCAGAATCCTGCTCCAACAAATTGAAACAAGCCGCCAGTACCAGAGAGTTCTATAAGTCCTTGCCATTCCTGTCCCCCCAACTCACTTTAATACAAATTGTTTCATTATTGAAATACTCTTTCTCCCACTGTCCTTTGCACAGTCCTACTTGCCTTATATCCACATACTTCCCTCAGCAAAGGGAAAAGGGGGCAGATTTAACTCCCTTATTCATTCCTATGTTCTGAAGAAAGCTGTTGAAGCTTAAAGATACTAAGACACAGCCAACAAACATAGAAGCGCAGGGAGATGCTCACGCTTCAAGTTAAGTTAGTTAAACTTGTTGGAGGACTGGAGCATGGCTCAGGGTTGCTAGCCTTAAACTTGTGTAGCAGTTACACCATGCTTGCTGTTCATGAGCTCTGCAACTAAAACCCAGAGATTTTGCAGGCGGAATCCTTGTGCAGAAAAGACTATGCACTCGTTGTTGTAACAGCAGGCTAGACTTCGCTTATGTGCCCTCATTCAATCCTAGCAAAGTCCCCCCCCACCTTTCAGAGAAAATAGTTTCAAAAAGTCATGAAGACATTGACTGATTTCATGCAGGCTTTAATAACCATTTGCTTGTTTTAGACTTGTTTGTATTGTTCAATAGAATTGGTTACTGGTAAGAGGTTGTGTTTCACGTACCTTGTTATATATGTAGCAGTTCAAGAACATTGTTTTAAAGTCTTCAATACATTCTGCAGCTTTTGTGTAGTAATTGTGTTCCAGACGCTTTTTAATAGTGCTCAAGTCCATAGGTTTCTTTATAATACTGTAATAATCCTGTGGTTTTGAAAGAATTAGTCACACAACAGATATCTTTAATATTAGGACATGAAGATTCTTACACATTTAGTTATGAAAGTTAAATTGCAAGAAAGGAAAATTCCATTATGTTGGAAGGAATATTTTATTTAAAGGAAAACTTTCCCCATAGTCATAGGTACCATAGAAGTAAGTGTCCAGGAACTCTTCACCTCATTTTTCCTTGCTTTTTCATATAACATCCACCGTTCAAAGCCCCGAAGAATATTTATTTCAATAGGATCCAGAGCTATACTGGTAGTACTTATGAAAAGTATATGTACTTCTCATTTGTTATCTCAAAGCCATTTACCTGAAGTAGCACTCAACTTTACAGAACAGAGGGAAAAGAAGCAAAAGAAGCCAAAGACAGACTTTGACAAAGACAAAGACTCAGTCACTGACAAAAAGAAGCTGCCAAGTTTTCACCGTTGCTGATCAAATACTTCATCCCCTGGGTTATATTGGCTCTCCTCTCAGGGTTAATCTAGTGACAATGTGGCAATATGACTGAAAGGCAGCTGAATGTGAACTACTGTGATTATTTTAGTAGCATGGCTAAAAGCTTGTGATTAAGAGCATGAGGCTAATTCCCTGCTGATGCATTTAAGAAATCAGAACAGGAATATCCCCACTAAGTTCACATACACATTGTAATTGTGTGAAGTTACTACTACTTCAAAAGTCTTCTAAAGCTGTCCTAACAATCTGTTTTAGTGAAATAAAAAAAGCTAAATACATCATAGTGCAGACTGTTGAATTTACCAAAACAAAACCAAGAAAGCTTTTAAATAACGCAGCTAATAATTAAGTATTGTCCATTCTGCATCTTCTAACACCTGAGGAAAGAGGCAAATATCTTCATTGTCCTCACCAAGGAGCCAGAGTTTGCTTGTTATTGTGCAGCGGTTGAACTAATACATACTTTTAGAAGTCAAGTGGCTGCCTTAGAAATCCAGAGAGGCAGAACTGGCCTAAGGCCAGCTGCAAATGTTGCTACAACTCTGATTGAATGACCCTTAATATTAACCTTAAGTGACAGTTCCTTTCAAGAAGGAAAAAGGGTAAGAAGAGACACAGAAAGATAGTCACTTTGGCTGTGCTTTTGGACAAACTGACCAAATGAGTTTGTCATGAGAAACAGCTGCAGATAAAGGCTTTTGTCTGCTCTAAACAGAACAAATGATTTTGTAGAATTAGTCTTGGAAATCTGAAAGAACTAAATACAATTGCTTAAGCTGGGGGCGGGGGGAAGAATCAAAGGAACTGGTTTTATTTAACACCTTCCTACTTATCTACCAAGACTAGTAACTTCCAGGTCATTTGAAGTACTGTTGTGTGAATAAACAATGTTTTCATTTGACTGAAAAAGCGGGGGTGATCCAAAACCGGAGTCAGAAGATAACCTGAATTAAGACAATTTGTCACAAGACATTATATTCATTCACTTTGGAATTAAATTGTAACATACATAAAACCCACAGGGCAATACAGAAGAAGAATTTAAGCATCAGATCTTCTATTTCCTAGAAGAATAGTCTATCACTGTGGTATGATGAGAACACCATATCTCTTTTTTTCTTCCCTATTTTTGCAGGGACATTTAATTCCTCTAGAAACTTCAGAGCAAGATGCCCAAGTTGATTTGAAATTAAGAAGTACTACAAGTGTAATTACTTCTATACATCAAACTGGATCCAGATTTGCCTTTTTACTTCAGGGTCAATAAGATCTGCTTTTCCATCATAAAGTATTTGACATAGAAAGACGCTGGCTGCCTCCTATTAAAAATAAAAAAAAAAGGCAAAAGAAAATACTCATCATATGCAGTGTTAAGAAATATGGCTAAACCAGCAGGGAGGTGGAAAGAAAACAAGGCAGAATACCAACATCCAGAAACTCCAAGAGGCCTGTCTAAGCATTCTTATTCTCCCTTAGAAATACTGATTTACTACAGTCTCTGATCAGAAAGCAAATGAACAAAGATGCAGCATTTAGTATAAACCAGTATTTAGTATTAGAGAGAAAACACAGTTTTCTTGCAGACTTGGATTATTGAAAGCAGTTCATATGCAAAAGTAGTTTTCCATGATCTGTTGCATCAGAAGAAACTTTTTTAAGCTAACATTAATTCACAAGTCCTGTAATATTTCACATATTAATACTCCAATTCCAAAATGGTTCTTACAGGAAGATTCAGTGCTGCTGCATCTACAGGCTGATGAAACGGCCAGGAGAAGTTGTGTCTCCACATGGCTTTCATGACCACCCTCTGTAAGTACTGAAGTTGGTTTGTTTGACAACCACTATTTTTGTTATTTATATATTCTGGTGGAGGAGGGTTAATAATAATAGAACGGTGTTGGCTTGGAACAGACATCTTTAGGAAGTTTGTATATCCGCTTGTTCAAAGATCTTCATTATACCTCTAACCTGGGGGGGAGAGGAGGGAAAAAAGAAAAATAAATAGTATTCAGTGAAGATATCTAGATTTAATGCTGTTTACGTGTTCACTTCTGTTTGTGGAGTGTCAATACTGTAGTCACAGGCATACCTTCATGGTTTAACCAAGACACATTTATTTTACTGTGCATAATTGGATGTGCTGGCCCACTGGAAGTCAGTCCTTTAGGTTATAAACAGCTAAGAGGAGGTACATTGAGATCTGTAAGATTTTCCTAGAAATAAGCTTCGTTACCAAGGTTCATCTGTCAAAGTCTAGGAATACATCCTCTGCCTGCCCCCCTCCACAGATGGAGCCCTACAGAAGAGGTTTAACCTAAGAAGCAGCTTTACAGCACACACTGCAAGTCTCACTTAGCACATAGCAATAGCTAGGTATTACCTTCCTCACGCATCTCAGCCAAGTCACCACGCAGAAGTCCTACAACTGCCAATAAAATGTGTTAGCATAAGTGTATTTTGGAACAGTGCTTTTCAAGTTTGTGTATATTCACAACAGTATTTTCTGCCACTGTGCATCAGCATTGTTACATACCAAGGACTATAAAAGGTTCATTCCCCTCACCAAACAGTTTTCAATCTTTTAAAGAATACTGCAAGGAGCAATCATGGTAATTTGTCTTTAGCCAGCACAGTGTTGCTGTGCTGGAGCAGAACATGCAGGTACTTCGGAATGGCAGAGGCTGCGTTTTGGGGTGCATAACACCAGCACTAAGCTAGGCAAGACCTTTGCCAAGCATGATTACAGAAGTTCCAGTCTTTGCCCACCTTCTTAGCTCATCATTGAGTTACAAACATTCAGTCAAGAGTCTCACTTTCTTCTCCACATTAAGACAAAAAAGCGCCATATTTTCTCATTCTAACACTAGTTCCTTGGTTTACCAATGTAACCATTTCTTTTTGTGCATTCATTCGATCAAGCATTACTTATTCCATTCTCAATTTATCCTACCTTCTGCTAAAAAAAAATCTGATAGCCTACTTTTCATCATGGTATAAAGTATTTAATGAGTTTCAGAAAAGGTCATAATAAGCTAGATAGCTACTGCTATCAGCACACTGCTAGAAGAGTATCTATGTCCCATTCTTGCAACAATTGTAACATCCCATCAGACATTACATATCACACATCTTACATTTTCATCTTTGTTCTTTATTTCAGCATTCAAAAGCACGCCTCTTCTCAAACAGCTCTTGAAGCTGAAGAGCTGTTCTGATTTCTCCCCCATGTGTTCAGTCTAGTCATTTACAGAATGCAGATGTCTTTCATTAAGCAGTACTGCCATCAAGGTAAAAGTTTTCTTTTTTCTTAAATAAGGAAAACTTATCAAACCTGAGTTGTTAATACCAGGAACAGTTCTGGGCTACGAGCGTGGCCACTACATCAGTAATAAATTTAGTACAAGATCAGGTTGTTTTGAGGTCCACAGTAAAGCAGGTATCAAAACTACTGTTATTTTTCATAATACTGATTTCAGTTCAGAGAAGAATTTTAATAGTTTAGGCATGAAGTTTTAGTTTCAAGTCATATAAATAACAAGCTGTGTTAATTTTAAGCTGGAGAATAATCATCTTCTGTCACCTGTGTCTTCTGATGAGACCAAATCTAGCAGTTACTCTAAAGCAAATTTCAAAAAACCCAAAGGGAACCTAGTTTTCCTGGAAGAAGATATTCAACTGCCAGGGTCCAGTATATGCAAAACAGCTTATGCTCTACAGAGAGAGAAGATAGTGTCTGCCTCGCACTTAACAGTGTGCTAACTCTGAAGTTAGGCATTTCTCTGCTGCCTGCTTTTACAAAGCTAGTTGATACAGTGGTAGGTACTGGAGTGTGCTGCAGTAGGGAACTTGGTCTCTTTTCTAATTCAGAAGTGACTTCATGATCTATTCCGCGCCCCCCCCCTCCCCCCCC